GCGGTTTTATCTTCTGGTGCTGAAGAAAGTGAATGCTTAATTTTTAACACTTCATCCCCTTCTTTATAAGTTACTCCCCGTCGTTTCATATCGTAATAGAGCTTCTGTTTTCTTTGTGCTACTTCAGTGTTCTTTTTTGCTTCTTTAATTAATTTTTCTATATCACCCATTTTAAATTCTGGGGCTCTTTGTTGAACATAAAATAATTTATCTAACGGCGTTATAATCTTTCTGCTTAAAAATAACTCAGCAGGAGTTTTGCCCTTCGTATCATGTTTTGCGGTCCTAAGGGCGAAAGCTAATTCATTGACATAGTTATCCCAGCTTTTATGAAAATTTTTAACATAACTACGGATAATTTTCACTATATTTCTATTCACCCGTTCCGCTATATTTGATTGCGGCCGATACGAGACCATTTTTAAATGACGTATGCCCAGTTTTTGGCACATGTCTTCAAATATATTACTTACAAATTGAGGACCATTATCCGATATAACTTTTAGGGGCGCCCCGTATTTTAAAATATATTTATTTAAAATAGTTTCAGTACCTAATTTCGCGGAGACTCGTTTTAAGGGAACAATTTCAGTCCACTTACTAAAATGATCAACCATAACAAGGAGATACCGACTTTCATTTAACTGACTTTTTGGGAAAGGGCCCAATAAATCGATGCCAATTATTTCATTTGGAAATTCCGATTTAATGCTATTTAGAAACCCGGCGGGCGGAAATAGTTATAATTAACTGCTTGACATGTTGGGCAGGACTGGACATACGCCCTTGTTAACTTTTGCAGCTCAGGAAAATAAACTGCTTCGCGTACGCGTTGGATGGTTTTTCGAATACCAGCATGAAAATCTAAAGGGGAGTCGTGCAACTCCTGCAGTATATTTAATCTAAGACTAGCTGGGATAACAGGTCGAAATTCGTTGTTGGAATTCGTAATTTTTGTATAAAATAATAGACCATCTATTAGTTCGTAATGGGCCGCCCTATTTCTTATCGCCACAATATCTTGGTGGCTAAAATTTTAAGGATCTTTTAAATAATCATAAATATTTTTAAATTCCGGATCCTTACCCAGTTCGGCTATTACAGTTTCTCGGGAATGTATCGTACATGCTGTGAGCATTTCCACCTTTACAGTATTACCTTCTTGATCTATTTTTATTCTGGATAGGGCATCTGCTACGATATTTTCCTTTCCGGGGGTGTGCTTAATTACCAAATTATATTCTTGTAACTTGAGTGCCCATCTTATTAACCTTGGGGAAATGTTTTTCCCTGAGTACAATCTAGTTACCGCCGCATGATCAGTATACACTGTTATTGGCGCCCTTCCAAAATGAACTCGGAACTTTTGTACTGCTAACAGAACTGCAAGTGCCTCTCTCTCAGTAGCGGAATAATTTCCTTGTGTTTGATTTAAAGTTCTACTAAAAAATGCCACGGGCTGCTGATTTTGCGAAAGTACAGCTCCTACCGCATAATCCGAAGCATCCGCTGAAATTTCTAAATTCTCATCGTTTTCAGGAAATTTCAAAACAGGGGCTTGCGTTAATGCTTGCTTTAATTTTTCGAAAGCAGTATTGGCTTCGGCCGTCCACGAGAATCTTGCCTTTTTCCTTTTTAATTTTAACAATGGTTCAGCAATAGCTGCAAAATCTTTTATAAAGGACCTATAATATGAACAATGTCCTAGAAAAGAAGAGAGCTTCTTCGTATTTGGCGGCGGATACTTTTGCACAGCGATTATTTTTGATTTGTCCATCTCGATTCCTTTCTGAGATATTTTGTAACCTATGTATTTTAATTCAGGGGCTGCAAATTTGCACTTTTCGACATGAACTTTTAGACCGGCCTCATTTAATAATGAAAACACCTGTCTTAAATCCTGTACATGTTGGTCCAGATTATCACTAGTAATAATGATATCGTCTAACTAGATAAATGTGGTCTTTCCTAGAACAGGCCTTAGCACAATGTCCATACATCGCTGAAATGTTGCCGGTGCCCCTGAAAGGCCAAACGGCATACGCAAGAAAGCATAAGTGCCAGACTTGGTTATAAAAGCAGTCTTAGGCACATCTTCTGGTTTAACACCTATTAAAAATAACCAGTCGTTAAGTCTAACGTAGTCATATATTTGGTAGAAGTTATGTTATGTTCCTTAGAATTTCTTCAATAATAGGTGAACGGATATACCGGATATTTAGTCATGGAGTTTAATTTACGATAGTCAATTGCAAAACGCCACCTTTTCGGATGTGTTACAGGATAGTCATTATTTTTCTTACATAACACAACCGGGCTAGCATAACTACTTGAGATGGGCGTTATGATCTTTTTACGTAACATATCTCGAATGTGCCACTCTATAATTTTTTCTTCATTTTTATCGTACCGATACGGTTTGTGGCGAACTGGCAGTGCATCTCCTGTGTCGATACTATAGTTAGTAACTTGAGTAAATCCGGGAATATCACTAAATAACGAAGCAAATTCACTTACCACATGTCGAATTTTTTGTTGCTCTCTCTCCCTTAGGCAGGTGGTCGAGGTTTAATGTGGGTAGTTCTCTTTTTTCTTCCCGAACTGGTTGCATGGTCAGCTTAAGGGACGTTTGGTTGAAATCCAGCGTTGCTTCTGCCTCTGAAAGAAAATCTATTTCTAAAATGACATGTGCTTGTAAATTTTTTATGATAAAAACATGATCTTTACTTGCTCGTCCTTGATGCGAATTTATAATGGTATTTTACCTATGCATTTGCATCTTTCTCCCTGCTCAGTATGTCGTATTATCCGAATTATATATGCGGTATCTACGGAAGTACTTCCTAAAAAAATCTTCTGCCACACAGGAACACTGCGCGCCTGTATCCAGGAGTGCGGTGGCTGGGATGTTGTTTACCAAAACTTCAATCTTTGGAAGAGTCAAATTTTTCACAATAACTGTATTTAACTTGAAGGAAGAGGGGTTTTCTTGGCCTTCGGATTTCCGCACCCTCCCGTCAGCAGAAATCCGTTTTAGTTTAAATTTTCTTTCTTCCTTTCCAAGCCTTCCTTCTTTTTCCGCTGGCCTTCAGACTTTTTTTCTGGCTTACTATTGAACTGTCGACGTTCGCCGGTTGTTTTTGGATACTCAGGTTTCCTTGCCCACTGATTCGATTTGCTTCCGTAGCCGTGATCTTGCCTTTGCTGTGGTCTTGGCGCACCAAATTGGCTTCTTTGCTCATACTGGCGTCTTCTTTCAATGTCCGCCGTTCTTCTACTTTCAAACTGGATAGCTAGCTCAAATAACTTTTCCAGTGTAGTCGGATTCCTTAATTCAATAAAGTCTTGTACTTGGGGAAGTAACCTCGGCAAAATCACTTGGATTATCTCAGGATCCGGACGGCTTCCATACAAGAGTTTAAAGACGTGAATTTTTTTTTAAAATAAAGCTTGAGAGATTTTCAATTCGTTGCTGGTATATGCTGAAGAGTTCTGCTTCTAATTTTGAACGATTTCTTACGACAGGGAAGGCTTTTACTAAGGCAGTCTTGAAATTTTTGTAAGTATAGGTGGGGCTTACCGCTTGACCCAAGAGTTTTCTGCCTATACATTTGAACCAATTAAGCGCTTGGCCCCTCAAAGCGTTGGTAGCTAAGGTGACTTTCTGGAATTCATGGACTGGATACAGCATGAAGTGGTCATCCAATTTTTCCAAAAAACTGGTTACCGGTGAGTTTCCATTGTAGGTTGCTTCTGGTTTCATCGATGCGCGCATGGTCTGGACGATGTACCCAAATCCTTCCAGGGCGGCAGCTGGCATTTCTGGATTCTGAGCCGCTTCTGCAGGCACCACAGGTTGTTCTTGAAACTCGGCCATGGTTATTCTTCTTCGTCGTGTGCCAGTATCAGGACTTGTGTTCCTCTTTACTTGCTTTGGAAACATGAACTGTCCTGACTCGGAACAGGTAGCTTACTCAAGCTATGTTCAATAAATTGTGAAGTAGACAATACACACAGGAAGGGTCGAAACCCTTTTTTTTTTCTATCTTTACAGAGATTTCCGGAACTTCGGAATACAGAGACCAACAACTTGTGGTCTGAACGTAAGAATATAAAACTACTAAATAAAACTCTAACTAAAACTAACTTTGGATTAATATACAAGTGCCTAACTTTAAGATTGGCCGTTATTTAACAAAATCCGTATGTAGTACAGAGAGCTGCTAAAACTACGATACGTTTGAAATTATCAAGAGGAGTAAACCTCTGGCCTTGAAGGCAACCAGCAACCGAGTAAAACTACTATGGCCAGCGGCCTGCTTCTAATAACTCCTTCCTCTCTCTTGCTTGGCAAAAAGCCACAACTTAAGTACTTGGCGTTAGCAAGACAATTTTGCATAAATAAGTTAAAGATTTTAATTCTGGACGAAAGTAGAAAATAAGAAGTGGTAGTAAAGATTTAAAATAAAATAAACGTTAGTAAAACTTAGGATCCTTACAATACCTATATTCCATAATCATAAAAAATCTAGTTACAAGATTCGCTAATGTCAATACTTTTGCGTCTAAAAGTTTACTATTTTTAGAGTTTTTCTTAGAAGAAAATGGTTTGGCAAAGCAACAACCTTATGTTTGGGGTAGAGATTTATTGAAGACTATATCGATTTTGAGGTAAACAGCTTCAAGTCCTTCTTCATCAGAAGCAAAGGAATCTGCAGCGAAGGGAAAGCCACATTGTAGATTTCTTTGCTCCTTATGAAGAGAGACATATTTGCCTTCGAGATCGATAAGAATGTTGTCTAAAAATCTACGCCAAACACAAGGTTGTTGAGGTTGTTGCGTTACCTTTTTTTTTTTTTTTACTTTGGCGTGTTTCTTTTCTCTCTTGAAGAATATGGTTATTAGGCTACCTATTTCCTAGTTTAGAGTAAAATGTTTGGCAGGAGACAAAGTATGTCGGTAATGCGAACTGATCAGCAATTTTTTGTTTTCTCTTGTAGATGAAGTTCGGACAGGCACGTATAGGCAGTTGTTTCACCCCGAACAGCTGATCACAGGCAAAGAAGATGCAGCCAATAATTATGCGAGAGGCCATTATACCATTGGAAAGGAGATCGTCGATTTGGTTCTGGATAGGATCCGGAAGCTCGCGGACCAATGCACTGGCCTCCAGGGTTTCCTGATCTTCCACAGCTTTGGCGGAGGTACTGGATCTGGATTCACTTCCCTCCTTATGGAAAGATTATCCGTTGATTACGGGAAGAAATCAAAACTTGAATTCTCCATTTATCCTGCACCTCAAGTAAGTTAAAGATAATTCGGGTATCTGCAGATGGTTTTATAATTTCCTGTCATGTTATACCTTTTCTTACATTTGCACAATGCCAATATAAAAAAGCCAGCAATTCTCGCACTTTATGCAAAGCATATCTTATATTATCAAAGAATTTTTAATGCTCCAAAGTACACGGATTAAGTAAGAAAGGCTAGATCTGACTTGTCCAGTGAACTTATTTGTTTTCATGAAGTCTAATCTTCGAATGTATGTAACGTTTAATGCTTTAATTAACTTACTTTTGTAAGCCCCGTGCTGTACACATGTGATGCACGGGGAATTATTATATGTTCATAATAATAATAATACTAAACAAGTTCACGGTGTTACGAAGTTGAAGCCACGGCTTTTACATTAAAGATTATCGGAAGCCTATTTCCCTCTGTAGTTATCAATAGGAAATTGAGAGTTGCCAACTGAGTTATAATATTAATTATATTTTAAACCAATAAAAAACAAAAATAGAAGAAACAGTTATCCTTTAATGGCAAGCTATCACACCTGTGATATTTTCCAAGTTAGTTAAAGATATTGTAATATCATTTTTTCCCAAGTTTTGAAAGCGTTTTATCTAAAATTGTTTGTCATTGATGAAAAACAATAATTTTTATATCTGCATGAAAATTTTCGTTCTAGATGAAATTCTCTCACAATTTTTCAACTCGTCCGTGAACATTTTCTAGATTCTTGTATATTTTATTGAGTCAAATCCAAATTGTTATCTATCTTATCAAATATAGCTATCCAACTAGGTTTCTTTATGCCACCATCAGCGACGTCGAGAACTGAGACATTCCATAACTAACTAACTTGTTACTAAGTTTTCACTATCAAGTGCATTTTTCCCCCAAATTCTTTGGTATCTCTGCATATAAGTTCTCTGAATGGCCTTTGCCCGTCATCCAACTGTGCCATCCAGCTACCATACCTTCCTGTGCCTGGCGTAGATACCATAATTCTATGCTGCGTCATTTTTTGCCATCTTCTTTTGCACTTAATTGCCGATGGCTCTATCAGTACCGTTCTAGTTCTAGTATCAGTACCGTTCTAATATGTTTTTTCAGCCCTACATTATACCCCATCCATATCTATCTACTGTACACATTTAATGTGAGTTGAACTCGAAAGAAGACAAGTAATTTCTTTCAAATGCTTTTTAGGTTTCAACAGCAGTAGTCGAGCCCTATAATTCCGTCCTTACCACTCACACCACTCTTGAACATTCAGACTGTGCCTTCATGGTTGACAACGAGGCCATATACGACATCTGTAGAAGGAATCTCGATATCGAAAGGCCAACCTATACCAATCTCAATCGGCTCATTGGACAGATCGTGTCGTCTATCACCGCGTCTTTGAGATTTGACGGAGCCCTAAATGTGGATCTCACCGAATTTCAAACAAATCTTGTTCCATATCCTAGGTAAGTGTGCACTACTTCACAGGAAGACTGTGTTTGTCAGGTGATAGGTATATTTAGCTTTCGAAAATTATATTAAGTATTTAATGTTACGAAACAAAATATATTACTGCATGAAAAATTAATTCAAAACCCCCTTTACAAATTCCTTTGTACGTACATTAACTTTGAAATTAGTTTGAGGTTATTAAAACTTGATGCTACTAAACTAAACAATTCTTTCATTATCTTCAGTTTCCGTAACTTTTTTTTCTGAGAAACTGCACAAAATTCTACGTGAAATTCAAACCCTATTCTTAATCTTTTATATAATTCTTGAACCAACGTTTTGCTTTTGGCTTATCCGCACAGAAGACTATAATAAAATTTAAAACATTTCATTATGGTGAACATAGGCATTTGAGTGGTCTAGTATGTTAAGTAGCAAAAATGATGTTAAACGCTTTCTGCCAATCAAACGTTTGTTTCCAGAATCATAGAACTTTTACAAGCAGAAATTTGAAAAATCAATCATGTCCAGGCGAGAAATTGAGTAATGGACCTTCCACTTGGTATATGGATGTGTTAACCATTGTATCATAAGAATATGCATGGAGGAAAGCCATAAAACTACGTACATAAACACTGGATAGCAATCAGTATGGTATATATCCAATTTTCAGTCAGGAATAATCTGCAGTCATCTCTCACCGATTTGAATTTACAAGAAATTAGATTTAATTTAGCAAAATGTGGTAATGTTCTTGTAGAATGTTGTCCATGCCTAATTTTGTTTTCTTGGTATTGCAGTTGCGCAATGTATCAACGAAGTCGCTCAGTTACTTGATGAAGATTTATTTTCCTACTGTAATATGAACAGCACACGAGTCCCTTCTGCACTAAATTAATTTATATACCTACAAATAATAGACTGATAAGACATAAAAATGTGAACCGAAAGATTGATGCAATCAGGTACCTTTATTGGTCAGTAAAAATCAAAATAAAAAACCTAACACTACCAATGTTTACTCATCCTTTTCCTTAATGGCACCCAATGAAAGAGAGCATGTGTTTGAGAAAGTCCTTCTTATTCTCTTTTACATATCGCCAAAAATGTTATTATAATAGCTCTTTATACTTAAAGGCGCATCTCTCTTGACGACAGATATTTGCCTTGAAACATAATAGAATAGAAGAAGGACACAGAAAATTCTCTCTGAGATGAAATTCGTAATTCCTACGTGACTGGTGCAACTATACCAAATTCAAACATTTTGAACATTGGCCTTTTTCTGTCAAGGAACTGAAATATTGCATTGATAAATTTATCTCTTTATCATCCATTTCGTTTTGAATTAATAAAATTCGACTTTCTCGATATAATCATTAAACTAATGTCATTATTACGTTAGTTGTTTCGTGTAGCTGATATCTACATCTAGATATTATTTTCTCCCCTCCTACTTCATTCATATACTCCAGCCTTGAAAAAAGGGTAATAATAATTAATAATTATTGTAACTTATTTGTTTTTTGTATGTCATTTAATCTCTTTTAGGTCTATTTCTTTATTTACCCCTCCTTATCTTCTTTGCTTACTAAATAACTAGTACTATGATAATATCAATGTCACCAGGAAATAGTTTTCCTTACTAATAATTGCATAGATTGTTTACTTCTGCAACAGAGTACTTATTTTCTTTCAGCCGTCAGTCATTCCACTTAGATCTGATCATTACATTTTGAAAATGGTCCTTTTTTTCTGTCAATGCTGTCAAACAATCTCATATGACTTATTTCTCTGAAATGTATTTTATTGTGTTCATTAATTTTCTTTTTTGAGTATTAGTTTCTGCTGCCGTTAATCCTGTCATACAGTTTTAGCTTGCTGAAATTACCAAAGGATTGATTTTCTAATGAATTTAATTGTTCCACCAGGATTCATTTCCCACTGGCCACTTACGCCCCGGTTATCTCGGCTGAGAAGGCTTACCATGAGCAGCTTACCGTAGCAGAGATCACCAATGCTTGTTTCGAGCCAGCTAATCAGATGGTAAAATGCGATCCCCGTCATGGCAAGTACATGGCTGTCTGCCTTCTGTATAGAGGCGATGTTGTACCCAAAGATGTTAACGCTGCCATCGCAACCATCAAGACAAAGAGAACCATACAGTTCGTTGACTGGTGTCCCACAGGATTCAAAGTAAGCTTACTTGGAGTTTCATGAAAATGTAATTAAACATACTTGATTGTTAAAAGCGTCTATGCTGTTTATATCACTATTATTACATGTGAAAGCAATTTTCCCCTCCGTTTTTAAATGAAACCCAAGCGTCTTCGCGTTCTAAAATCCAGTATCTGATTTAGCCGAATTTTATACTGTTTTCACATAGTTAATAAAATAATATTAATTTTGGTTAAATATTGCCAAAACGTCTCCAATTTTTTTCAAGCGTCATGTATTACTTTTCTATTTTGTATTATTTAGACAAGCCATTTTAGTTTCAATATAAAATTTAAGTAAAGCAAACGTATTATCCACCCACTGTATATAGAAAATGGACTCAATTTATTAAATAATTTTCTGAAACATATTAACATATCAATTAATATGTATATATACTTGAATAATTTCCGTAACAATTTTTCCTACTAATGTTATATCGTATTATTCTGATTAGCTTTTCATTATGGACTCATGAAGAGGATATAAGGTATTTCTCCCGCCTTCTTGGCATGCCTTCGTCGTGTGGTGGTCAGCACGCTCAGCGCGTAAAATTGAGAGGTCCGCCGCGGTTCGATTCCCGGGGGGGGGCGAAGGCGTTGCATATTTTTCCTTTTGCCTGCTTCCAAAAAATACCTAATGTCTCTACGGTGGCGCCAGAACTAAAAGGGTGTGGATGATGATTCTCCACACCCAGGATTTGGCGATTGGGTCGCCTAAAATAAAACCCAGTAGCCCTTTAAAAGGGTGAGTATATAAGGTATTTCTCCCGCCTTCTTAGCGAGCCTTCGTGGAGTAGTGGTCTGCACGCTAAGCGCGTAATTGAGAGGTTCGCGGTTCGATTCCCGGCGAAGGCGTTGCTAATTTTTCATCTTGCCTGCTTCCAAAAATACCTAATGTCTCTACAAGGAGATGGCTCTTAATTACAAATTTATAGATTATATCTTCTTTAAGTGTCAATTTATTTCATAACTTTTTCTATAACTCTCCAGTTTAGCAAAATATGCTTATTAGTTTCAAGAAAAAGTTCTAATGAGGACATGCCGTAGAAACTAGAGCCTAAAACAAAATCAAACTGGATATGAACGTGTTTCGCAATTTTATTATTATCATCAAAATACCATGTGCATTTTCAGGAGTATATATGCTCATCAATCTTGCTTATCTGCAGTAAGATACAGTAGATGCCGCTTAATGTGATCTCGGATAATGTTGTCATTCGGATATTGTTATCGAATTGCCTACATCTTGGCCTTTTGCATACGGAAGCATGGGAAATACAAATTACTTTAATCAACAGTTCGTTTAATATGATCAAAATATTATAGAATAAAATTTTCAAACTGAAGGTAAAGACGCCAAGTAAGTTTAAAATGCGTTATAAAAATTGCCAAGTGACAGAGAAGGGTTTAAATCTCTGAATATCTTGGTTTCGATTTAAGGCTTTACATCAGATTTAAGGCTTTAAATCGCCAAAATATCTTCGTTTCGATTTTAATAACCCGTTTAAAAGTAGGTTAAGAAAATGCAACCTTAGTTTGATGTAGGTTTTTAATAACTATTGATTTTGAGGTGATAAGACACAGTTCCCTCTTTTTTTTTTCTTAAGAGCAAAACAAGTCTGTAGAACTCTTTTTCTCTGAAAACGTGTGCGCCAAACTAACGCTGCTTTTTTGCATAATTTTAAATTTTAGATTGGGAAGTTCTCTTCCAGTAAGGGACGTCCTCCGAGTGTTAAGATTAGTTGTCCAGTATCGGTCAAATAATTTCCAGAAGCGTTATGAACAGTTCTTAACCACTCTTTTGCACATACCTAATTGAAATGTTGTGAAAGTTTTCTATTTTTATCTTTTTAGTCATGTTTATATTAAATTAGTTTAATTCCATACTATTCCGAAGGACTTTTTTTTTCTCATCGTTTAATGTTTTCATTTGGTTAATGTTATCAGAATATTCGTGGATAAAAGTGATCACATTAAACAATGCGTACTATATTTATTATGTGAGGATTTAGTATTTATTTATTTTGACTAATCGTTAATTTTGATTAATAGTTAATTTTAAGCAACTTTTTGGTCGCTCTCCTTTTCGTCTACGCTTTCTATGCGAGAATATAAATTAGATAGCACGCGTTTATTCAGATTAGGAAGAAAGAAGTGCTATTTAAGTGAAGGTTTCCTAAGTTGATTTTAGAACGTGTTCTACCTCTTTGTTACCGTGACTTAATAGTGATATGATTCTGTGGCTTTCAGTGCTTCTAGCCATTTAGCTTTTTCCGCCTGCTTCTACGAGCCAGAGCCTTCCTGTGCATTTAGTTTATCCTGTGAGCCGCTGGGCTAGTGTAAATTACATTTTACTTTAAGTTCATTACTTATTTTAAGTTAAGCCAGAGGTGTTGGCTTAGCTACTGAGTTTATGTTACTAAAGCATACGAGACTCTATAAATGATAGAGACTTAAACTAGTTTTGCAAACATTGTTGTAATAATTCTATTTCGTTACAGGTGGGGATTAATTATCAGCCCCCTACTGTTGTACCAGGTGGAGATTTGGCCAAAGTTCAACGGGCTGTTTGTATGCTGTCCAATACGACAGCCATCGCCGAAGCGTGGGCCAGGCTGGACCACAAATTCGATCTGATGTACGCAAAACGGGCTTTCGTCCATTGGTACGTCGGAGAAGGAATGGAAGAAGGTGAGTTTGCTGAAGCTAGAGAGGATTTAGCAGCTCTCGAAAAGGACTACGAAGAAGTCGGTGTCGATTCCATGGAAGGTGAAGAAGATATGGCAGGCGAAGAATACTAAAGTAAATTGAAGAAGAAACCATCATCCGCCCACTGTTTTCTGCGAGCTTTCTTTAGTCTAATTTCCCTTTCTCTCTAATTTTTTGTTTCTCTATGACTTTGAATTTTTATATTTTTTTCTTACAAGTGTACCAAATGGGATTCAAAGTACTTATTACGATTAAGCGCATATTCTTGCAAAAAACATCACTCTTAAATGGCAGTCGTTGACTTGAATATTAAGTTTATCGATCTGAATGTTAAGAGTGTCATTGACTATGCTAAGAAACAGAAGTTGAAAAAGGTAGTTTTAATTTTATTAGATTTGTGTTATTGCATCTTTATGTTTAGTAGCTAGATAGAATTGTAGCAATTACAATTGAAATTAAAATTAGTGTTATCTATCGAGTATATGTACGTACGTTTTTGGTGCACTGTTTGAATTTGAAAGGCACTTTAGCATATATTGTGTGAAATATTAAATGCACATAGCTATGTAGCTGTAAATACAGGAAGAAACAAAGCTCTAACTGTGATTCAAAAGCGTGTTTTTACGTTTGTTACTGTTGCAACTTGCTCTCGTCCAGCACTGATAATTTGAAGGTATTTTATTTTACAAGTTGTCCAGTGGTGGGGATTATTAACAGTAAATAATTTATATTTCTAAGGCGTCGTTTAGTAATTCTACTTTCGTCTAATAGCAGTTAGTCTTTAAGTAGAATTTGGATGTCTCAAATAAAAAAAAACTGTAGAGAAATATTATAAGAAAAGAATATATTTTATTTTATATTCACTAATGATTAAGAAAAAAATGATTATTTGTGGAATTTTTTACAAGATCGAATTGTTTCAGTTTATCATGTGATATGAATTTCTCTAAGTTTCTTATAACTGATATTTAAAGTAATGCATTGTGTGAATAAATTTAGAGTTTGGCAATAATAATACGATTAATTTTAGATAAATGATTTCAAATGCTATTTCATTCTTTTTATTACCTATGCTTTAGCTTTGCAGTTGCTTTGTTTACGTCAAAATGCTGTTTAAAACCTTTTATACTTTTTAATGCTTTGATATTCAGCAAGAATTACTGTGATAGAAAGCAAGATTTAAAAAAAAAAAAAAAAAAAAAAAAAAAAAAAAGCGATTTTTTTTAATAAAGTTTATTTGAAACATTTCGATGTGTATGTTTTTGTCTGTATTCTGACAATTTTATCTTTTAATTTTTTTTTTCTATGCCATGAGATTTCCAATAAAAATAAACATTTAGTTTCAAAAATTGAGTCGCCTTTAGAGAACGATATTTCTTGCAGAATTAACTGTAAGCTTATTCAGTTTCCTGACTCGTTATGATTTCAGGAATGCGTATTGTATCTCTAAAATGTGTGTATATATTTTTAAAATTATACTTTACGGAAACATATCTGAAATTCTCAACTGTCGTTTGGCTTTATTTTTTTTTCCGGAATTAAACTTCTGGTAGCGGATAATTGCATAATTATATAAAGGGTGTTTACATAGCTTTTCTTTAGAAAGATTTTTATAAAGAATTTTTAAAATTTTGCAGTAAAAGGTTTTGGCAACAGATTATTATTCGGAATGATAAATATCGTCTGCTGCTTTTAAACTGATTCTTCTTTCAAAATATCACATGTAAACAATGGGTTCGTGACACTTAGCCGACAGGACACTTAACCGACACCAGTTAGCCGACAGGACATTTAGCCGACACTGACACTTAGCCAACACAGACACTTAGCCGACAGGACATTTAGCAGACACGGACAGTTAGCCGACAAGACATTTAGCCGACAAGGACACTTAGCCGACAGGACATATAGCCGACAGGACATTTAACCGGCGCGGACAGTTAGCCTACATGACATTTAGCCGACACGGACAGTTAGCCGACAGGACATTTAGCCTACTCACAGAATTCGGCGTCAGGGCATTTAGCTACGAGACAGATAACTGTCAAGATATTTAGTCAACAGGACACTAATCTGACAGTGACGTTTAGCTGGGGCGTACCCAATAATTATTTGAATTTACAATCAATTACAAAATTTCTCGACTTCTCCGTAAGTTCAATATTTAAGTTATTTTTTTCACGTATCATTAAAATTCAGTTTTCGATTCTTGAAGATCTAATACGCGCTTCTAATTTATTGTGTTAATTTAGCATTGTTTGATATGTATCGTGCTGTTTCGTGTATATTGGGCAAATTGAAAAAGCGCTGAAATTTCTCGTCAGGGAATATAAATTAAATTTCGAAAAGAAAGCGAATTTTTTTAACTAAGTACGGCGGTCACTTAATTACATTTTAATTTAGAAGCTTTACGAATAATTTTTGAAGATCCCATTCTTCAAAAATTATCCGTCATTTAATCAACTTTCACATCATTAATATTTTTCTGTTTACTTAAAGAGATAATTTTCCGATCTCGCTCTTCCAAATGCTTTCAAATTTCTAATATATTTACGTTTCATTACTATTTTGCTCATCACATCATGTTACATTCCTTCCCTTAAAAAATCGTTTGGCTCCTCCCACTAAGGAAATTTCCTTTCCCTGTCATGAAAAATCTGAATAATGCAATAAAAATAATTGTTATTCTTGAATTATACTTTTTTATAGAAACATATGGCGAGGAGGTTTAGTTTAGGAAATATATTTTATTTTGTTATTAAAAACAATTAAAAAAAGTGCATTTTTAAGACCAGCAAAGGTATAAATTATTTGTGAGCTCTATAATTTGCAGTTCATGCTACTATACTTGAGATAAAAATTCTGTAACATTTTATTGACCACGCTTCTCGCTTAAAATACTTACATAGTTTAATGTTTATAACCCTAAAATAGTGCATAATGTTTCATGTAGAAGTAAAATATTCTTTAAGGTTTTGTTATATTCATAACTGAAGCTGCAGAAGAAGGCGGCCACAAACAAAGTAGGCGGAGCAAAGCGTCAGATCGTGAAAAGTCACCGTAATGTGATGCCATCGATTGATGCTAAATTTAACTAGATCAGTCATGTAAATAGATAATATTATGTACTATGTTTTGAAAGTCACGATGTGTAATTTTCAATATAATATGTTATATTAATGTTCTCAACATAACTTATATAAAATATAATTTTTCTCATTATCTGTTAAAATGTATAAATTTTCATTTCATTTTTCATTCATTTTATATTTTTCCTCTTTCATTCCTTCTCCTTCTCGTTTTTGGTTTAGCTACATGCTAATGGGAAAACTTTTGGTGCCTATTTTCCTGAATGTATTAATAAAGTTCTAGCCTAAAAAGACAATTTTCATTGGAAGAGACTGGTTGTATATTAAGTAAAACGGTCACTCTATTTCTGTTAGACTCAGCAGCGACCGAGCTTAAAGTCACTGAACACTGGCAGTTCGGTCCGAATTTGAATCCCTCGAACAGACAGTCTGTTTTCGTATTTTTTCTCATGTGTAACATGTATAAGAGGCAGTTTTCCTTAGAAAGTCTTCCACGAAGGCTCCCTACCCTTAAGAAAATAGCCCTCTGGCTTTGCCGTAATTACATAAACCAAACTTACTTCTGTTAGGTGGCCGCTAAACCAAAAACGAGAAAGAGAAGGAATGAAAGAGAAAAAAAAATTAATTAATGAAACATTAAATGAAAATTTATACATTTTTAACAGATATTGAGAAAAGTTGTATTTTATAAGAAAAACATTAATATAACATACTATATTGCAAATTACACATCGCGACTTTCAAAGCATAGTAAATAATATTATCTATTTACATGACAGATATAGTTAAATCTAGCATCGTTAGATGGCACTAAATTACGGTGACTTTTCACGATGTGTCATTAATATAAATGCTGAACTATCCGTTATATAAAATCCATAATTTAAAAAAACTGCCATCCGTTGCGCAAGAAAAGAGTAAGAAAAGAAAGCAAAAAGTATGTTTTATTTTCGTTCCTTTAACTGTGTAGGGTACTGCGCCCGTTTATATTTAAAACGACCAACTACATCAGAAGATAAGTAAAATCCACTGCTGAGATCTATTATAATTAATCTGTAATTATAAGAAGTATATATTATGAGTTCTTATTCACATAATAAATATACAAGCAGAAATGCCCAGAAAATGGTTCTTTTAAATGTAACTTATTTTATTATTATTTTCTAGTTGTAGCTAAAATGAAAAATATTAAATCATCAACACTTTTTTTTCTGTAGGTAAATACATTTAATTACTTCTACTATTAAACACATTTAATTACTTCTATTCTTCTGCTGCGTTTTTTCAGAAACGGCCCAAAAAAAGCATACTTTTTTAATATCATAGACATACTTCTTTTTATATCAAATAAACATTGATATCAGTTAATTAGAAAAATATATTGTGTTTGATAAAGTAAAAATTATACTGTTTTCAAGCTATTCGATGCTTACGTATTAATGGCTATGTAATTTCCCTTAGCACCATCTCTGAGTACTTTGAGTACTGGAGACTGGTTCTCCTTCTGATTCATTAAACTTTTCAAATATAATTATTCCAGTGTATTCCATATCTGTTTCTTCTCAATGGATGTGGCTGATATTGATGCCAGTCGAGTTCCGTCTGCCATATCCACTTTCTCTCTGGATAGCGTTTTTCTAAACACAAGAAGACTGAACATATGATTAAAAGAAGGGGGAATAATTAAAAGAAGGGTTTAAGGGGGAATGATCATAAATAGCAGGCAGAGATTAAACGGCAATTTATCATAATTCCTCAATGTTACGGTATAATGAAAAATAACAAAGCTATGCTTCCAGCCTCTCAGTATCTGCACCAACTGGAAGGCATTAGACATTCATGAAGTAAATCTCTTTCATAAATATCGAAGATGTGTATAACGAGTAGGGTGACTATTTTGAGATCAAGAGAATCTCACGCCAAAAATATGTCGATTATTTTTTCCTTTTTAAATGCTGCTCGGGGATGAACTTAAAGGAAATAAATCTACATAGCTCACAAAGACGTTGATGGGTATCTCATGATATATGATACACGACAGCAAAGATCTCTATACCTAAATTATTATTCTCGTAACCTTTTTGCAAATTCACATAATGAACAAAACTGACTTAGAGATGCAGCCATAGTTTGGGCAGTATGTCAAATTTCCTCGTCAGAAGTATTTTCTGGATACAATTTTAAAGAAAAAAAAAGATGTAAGTGATACTGATCTTATTGTTATTATTTTATAACGTTGGACGTATGGACACAAAAGAGATTCGGAATAAAAAGTGAGAATTTAGACTAATAGTAAACTTTATATTTTCGTTTTCTCACTTTATAAGTAACATTTTTAGATGATTTCATATGTTAGGATTGTATCAAGAGTAAAAGTGGTTATGTAGAATTGCTGATACTACCAGCACATAAAAAAATTATTAAATAATAAATACTGCTTTATTTTCATCTAAGTACAGATTAGAACACTACGCAATCTCTTTCATAAAAACTTTTTTATTTCTATAAATATACAATATATCACAGACAGCTAAGAAAACATTCAATGTTGTAGGAAGAATATAACTCAGGTTCAGACCCGAAGGTATTTAGAAAACCATATATTTTCCAAATAGCTAGGAAGAATGATATTTTTATCTGTGCTATGTTGAAAATACTTAAAAACATTTTTATAACTATAAACTAATGACTAATTTTGAAGAGAAACACTTAAAAAGTAATACAGCTATTAAACAAATCGTAATGAAATTTTAATTTCTAAAGTTTAAAACAATTTCAGTGCAGATATTTATTTACAAAAATCTTGGTATCATTGAATATCAATAAAGATCTATTTAAATTATTTTTTCAAAAATAAAGATTAAAGAAAAATCACCCTATATAGTCAAAAATAAGACCCCTATTTTTGGGGGGGGGTGTTATATTTTTTTTCTAAAATTTTGTAGTTATATTGTTTAAATGCTAAATTTAAATGTGATTACTGTACCGTAGACGGCACTTAATGTGATCGCGATTAATGGTATCATTCGGATGTTGCTATCGATCTGCCAAAGTCACCTGTAGACGAAAGCATGGAAAATACATTGCATATTGTAATCAATAATTCTGTTAATATAATTCTGTT